CTCCCCTGGGACTTGTAGTGCCCTGGATTAATGGTGGAGTTTTCCCTCCCGTCACAAGCTGCTCATACCCCACGTGCTGTGTTTGCAGATTGCCATGGTGGTGATGTTCATGGTCTCCATTTTCCTCTACCGAGCAGTGGTTGCCATCCTTCTCTCCAGCTCGGGGTACTTCTGGTCTGTGGCTTTGGTAAGAGGTGGCTAGAGCCACTCTCAGACCTGCTTCACTTGCTGGGCTTGCTCACCACCCTCTGTGCTCTGCATGTGGCTTCTCCCTGTAGGCATCCTGCATCACCAGCATCACCGGCTCAGTGGTGAACCTCATCTTCATCCTCATCCTCTCCAAGATCTATATTTCCCTGGCTCATTTCCTCACCAAGTGGGGTAAGCTGGCAAGGGCCCTGCAAGTCAGATGGTGATGGGAAGGAGTGGTGAGTAAGGGCAGAGCACCAAACACAGTGAGCTTGCTGCTGGGACACGAGCTCTATCCACAGCCTTGGAGGGAAGGCTGGCTGACACTCAAGAGGGTGATGGCTATGGAGGAGAGGAGAACTGGGAAAATAAGACCTTCACTGAAAAGTGTTTTGGCAACAGAAAAAAAAAAGTGTTAGGTTTAACTTCTGCTCAAGCTTTTCTGGGGGATTTCAATGAAAATATTCAAGCTGACTTTTGAGGTCTGGGGGAGAAAAGCATGTGGGATATTTTTGTTGTATTTAATGAGACACAAAGCCTGTTTGTACTGAGTGGAGAGGAGGAAGATTATTTTTTGGTGCAAAGCAGATGGATGTCTCCAGACACTGCACAAGTGGCAGGTGCCTTCACGGGTACCACAGCAGGTTTGGGGACCCTGTGCTGTGGGGGCTGATTAGAGTCAAGGGATGTGGGGTAACTTTGGCTATGATGTGGAAGAGCATCCTGGAGCAGTGTAGGGCCATGTCCCTGTGCTTCCCCCTGCCAGAGATGCAGCGCACCCAGACCAATTATGAGGATGCCTTCACTTTCAAAGTGCTTGTCTTCCAGTTTGTCACCTTCTACTCCTCTCCCATTTACATCGTCTTCTTCAAGGGCAAGTAAGGACGTTGGGAGGAGCAGGGGGTCTCCCCCATCTCCTGCAGCACCCCAGGCCTCCAGGCTTTGCATGGCTGAAGGATGGGGAAGTGCTGCTGCCATCATGGGCAAGGAGCACTGTGGCAGGGAGGGACGGTCCCATCAGAGAGTGGGAGCCCTCACAGGGCCATGGGACACCTGGTAACGAGGGCAGTGCCAGCCTGCTGTGGGCTAACTGGTGCAGCTGGTCCCAGTCTGGGACTGGGGGACCCTTTCCATCAGAGGCACCCACTGCCAGCCCTTTTGTACCCCTTGGTGAGGGAGAAGAGGGCTCTGGGTGAACCTGAAAAAGCCCTTCCTTCCCTGGGGCCACTCCAGATGCATCCCTGGGCTCAGCGCCTGGGGTCCCAGCTCATGGCTTTGCTGTGGCTCCTGCAGGTTCATTGGCTACCCTGGGAACTACCTGAGCTTTCTGGGGGTCCACCACGAGGAGGTGAGTGCTGGGCGGGAGAGACACCGAGGCGGCCGCCCCAGCCGGTGCGTGCTGCAGGGATGCCTTCCTGTGCTCAGGGTTCTCCCATCCCTGTGTGCCGGACCCAGCAGGCTGAGGGCCCCTTTCCCCGCAGTGCAGCCCAGGTGGGTGCTTCATCGAGCTGGCGCAGGAGCTGCTGGTCATCATGGTGAGGAAGCAGATCATCAACAATGTGCAGGAGGTGGCCATCCCTGAGTACAATGGGGCTTGCCAGGCTTCAGGGCTCTACCGAGGGGTTGTTGAGAGGTGCTGGCAGGCTGCAGTGGGAGACACGGCCCCTCTTGTTTCCCCAGAAAGCTGAAGTGCTGGTGGCACAAGCACAAGCTCCTCTCCCCCAAGAAAGCAGGCAAGGAGGGGGAGTCGGTCCTGGTGGAGCAGGTGCCCTGGGTGATGGACCAGGAGCTGCTGGTGTTCGAGGGGCTGTTTGACGAGCACCTGGAGATGGGTAGGGACCAGCCTTGGGTTGGGGAGGGCTGAAGCGCTGGGAGAGAGAAAGCCGGCGGGGAAAGGCAGGAGCTGCAGGAGCTCCCTGGAGGAAGGGACCAGCTGCAGGAGCTTTTGCCCTGAGCAGCCTGCAGGTGCTGGAGGGAGAAGGGCTGCCCTGCTCCCCGCAGCATAGGGCTGGGAGATGCCACAGCTGCTGCTGCCATCTCTCAACCTCCTCCTCCTCTTCCTCCCAGTCCTGCAGTTCAGTTTCATCACCATCTTTGTGGCAGCCTGTCCCCTGGCACCCCTTTTTGCCTTGCTCAACAACTGGGTGGAGATCTGCCTGGATGCTCACAAGTTTGTCTGTGACTACCGGCGGCCTGTGGCTGAGTGGGCACAGGGCATGGGCATCTGGTTCTCCATCCTGGAGGCCATCGCTCACCTGGCCATCATCAGCAACGTATGCTGGGTGGGCAGACAGGTGGTGAGGGGGCTGCAAGCAGAGTAGGGGAATTAGGGGGGAAAAACTCGTTTGGCCACTGCAGGACGCTGAGTGACGAGGGGAGCTGCAGTGCCTGGAGTGGGTCGACCTTTGCAGAAGGCACAGCTCCAGTCACGGGCAGTGGGAAACCGTCACCCTCCGGGGCATGTGGCCCTGCTTGGGTTTAACCGAGGGGTGAGAGCAGGACACAGCGGCCATGAGCAGCTTGCTGCTAAGACCAAGCAGCTTTCATGTCTTGTTTGTCAGGCTGAGGGCAAAGACAGGCAGAAAGCCACCTCAGGAGCACAGGGTGTGGAGAAGGTCCTGCCGGTGGCAATGGGGTGTCCCCCGGCTGCAGGACCTGCTGCAGCACATCTCCCTGCTCCCAGGCCTTCCTCATCACCTTCACCTCTGATTTCCTGCCCCATGTGTACTACAAGTATGTCCATGAAAGCAGCCTGCACGGCTATGTGAACTTCACCTTGGCATATGCACCATGGGACTTTGTCCTGTAGAGCAACACCATGTGCAGGTGAGAACCACCCTCCTGCCTCGTCTGGCTCCTCTCCTTGTTTGCTTATGCTTGGATTTGGTTTTCTCTGCCACCACCACAGCAATTGTTTTGTTTAGCACAGTGGCCTTTAGTCAGGTCCAGGTTGTCCACCCACTTAGTCCTGAGACCCTTGGGGCCCTCGCTCATCCCAGGGCTGAGCATGCGCTGAATGTGCCCGTGTGGGGGGCAGCTGGGGGGTGGGGAGTCGCTTGCCGACCCTGGTCCTGGGGCTGAAGCAAAAGATCCCTGGTCATGGAGGGAGGTGCTTTTGCAAAGAACAAAGTTCCCCAGAGCTGGGCTACCTGCAGCCGCCTGGGTCCTGGCTGAGGCTGGCCCAGGGCTAGCACACCGGGCTGGGAGCCGTGATAGAAGAGCACCAGCAGCAATGCGCAATGGTGACACTCACCAAGAAAGGGACAGAGGCAGCAACAACTGCACTTTGGTCCCACAGATACAGAGCGTTTAGGGACCGGGATGGCAACTTGACCTTGACTTACTGGCAGCTGCTGGCTGTACGCTTGGGCTTCATCATCGTGTTTGAGGTAGCAGCTGCCGAGCCCTGCAGGGTGGCCCATGGCACAGTGCTTGGGCGGGGGGTGAGGACCTGCCACCTTGGCGAACCTGCGCGTCCCCGCTCACTTCTAGCATGTGGTTTTCTTTATTGGACGTGTGATTGCGTGGCTGGTACCTGACATTCCTGAGTCCGTGGAGGTCAAGGTGAAGCGTGAATGGTACCTGGCCAAGGAGGCCCTGGCTGAGAACAAGGTGGGCTGTGGCAGCTCCTCTGCCTCCTCCTTTAAAGCCTTTTTTGCTTTAAACTTGCGCAGAGCCACAGGCAAGCAAGGCGGCAGCTCCTACTAGTGCAAACCTCGGCTCCCTTTTTCTGTGGTTCAGGTCCTTCTGGAGAGACGGGAGACAAGCAAGGCCAGTGTCACAGATCTGGCCGCAGGCAGGGACTGGGAAACGGAGCAGTTCGCCAGCAGCTGGGTGCCGCAGCATGCCCCGAGGCCCGTGGCACGGTGCCGGGACTGAAGGGCTGCTGACCAGCCTGGAGCCGTGGGGCAGCAGGCATGGCTTCCCTGCCCAGGTGGCACACGGGCACTTGGGGACGGCTACTGCTAAAGGCAGGGAGGGATGCAGCTGGTGCTGGGTGTTTGTCCAAGCTCACTGGTGTTACTGCAAGGTAACTCCACCGCTGTGTAAACTACCTGGCACGGAGCCAATTAAAGGAGGCTGGCCACACCATATCCCTGGGCTGTGCTCAGCTAGCGCAGGGCAGCGCCTGCCCACAGCAACCGCACCGCTGGTCAGTGCAACCGCAGCTCCACTTGCCACTCGGGGCGGGCGAAGGTAGGGCTACAGCCTCCTGCACCGACTCTTGCCCCTCCTGCCTCCACCTGTGCTGGAAGTAACCACAGCTGGAGGGTTTGCTCCTGCCAGCACCAGCAGGTACAGTGGGAACAGCTGAGCTGCTGGTGGGAGGGGGAGAGCTATGGATACAGCGGGTGAACTTGAGAGGCATGCTGTGACCGTCCAACACGGCAGCCCCTGAGCCAAGCTTCGTCTATCGGAGAGCAGGAGCTTGGCCGCGGCTGGTGGGTGCTGTGCGGCAGTGCCAGTCGCAGAAGGCAGGCTCTGGTTATGGAGGAGGTGAGCAAAAAGACCATGGCTGGTGCCGCCTTCTCCTCCCCTATGCTGGCAGCGTCCCTGGAACCACCTCCCTGGGTGCGAGCAGGTCAGTGGCTCCCCGCAAGGAGGGCGCAGCCTCCACCACTGCCCGGTGCTGCTCTCACCTCCTCCCTTGACCCAGCCGCTTGTTGCGCAAGTCTCGCTTCAGCAAGGGCATCACCGCAGCAGAGGCTCATGCATGCAAGCTGCAACTCCTCAAACTGGGCTAAACCCAGCCAAGCAAGGGCTGCCTTGGATCTCAACCCACCAGTAGAAATAATATCCGTGACACTCCAAGCTGTTTCAGGTTTTATTTTAGAATTTATAAAATTCCAGTGTCATCCATACTCATGAGCCTTTTTACATGTTTGCATATAGTCTCCAAATTCCAAAGTTAAGGCCAAGGGATCATTGCTATGGAAACGTACAATATGGAAGACGTCAAAGAGAGGAAATGGACACATGCCACAGTCTGCTGCGGAAGGAGGGTGGTGGGGGGACAGTACTAGGTACAATCACTTCATGACCTTCTTTAGAGTGGAGGGTCGGGCTGTGGGGCACGAGCCTAGATGGTGGCGCCCCAAATGTAACTCAAGCCTAGCTGTGCAACTGGTGAGGGCATGGGGGGGGGGGCGGGGGAATTAAAGAGGAAGAGGGGGGTGATAGGCTCAGTGATGTAGGACAGACCTAAGCTACAGGGGTAATAACCATTTTCTGACAGACGCAGATGGGAAGGTGTCACCCTAGTTCTGCCTGACCCACCCTGTCTCCCGTGCTGGAAGAAAGGCCACCCTGTCCTTCAGGGGCAGCCAGGTGCCCTGCAACGGGCCATAGTCAGCTTCAGTCATTTCTCAAACTTAAGGAGAGCACTGTGAGGTTTTGGTTCAACTTCTGCATAGCAGCCTCTTCCAAGAAGAGCTGGCACGGGAAGAAGCATCAGCATGTCAGGCCTGCCAGACAGAGGGAAAGGCAAGAATGCTGGGCTCAGCCTGCCAGAGTTTTGGGCCTTTGCTCCGAAAGCAGCACTAGAGAAGAGAGGCTAGGGACAAGAGCTGAAGCAGCTGGGATAGAGGAATGGCTCAGACTACAACCTCTGTAGGACTGAGGCAGGGGAAGGAGGGAACACAGAAATCCCACGCTCCTTGCCTCCCTCCACAAAGACGTGGTTTTCCTCTTACTGGCTGGAGGAGCTTGGACACAGCCCCCTTTGAGCGAGCCGTGGCAGGGCCTAGGTGCAAGCGGCCCAGAGTACAGAGCATGGATCACCCTCTACTACCCATACGATGGAGGCCTCGGGGAGGGCTCAAGGCACCATGCCATCAGCCCCCCAATGCCATCAGAGCAGAAGCCTGACTCACAACCTATGCAGCTGAAGGCTGTGGCAAGGCTGCACCTACGGCCTTGGGGCTGAGCCCTGTTCTAGCTCAGCAAGCAGTCCTACAGCTCTCTCTGATTCACAGCCTGCCTCATTGTCACCGTGCTCAGCTTCCCTCCGGAGGAGCTCCCACAGCCACTGGAGACAAAAGGCTCCTCTTGCTTCTCCTCCACGCTTCTGCTCTGGGTGCCAGGGCAAGAGCTGGAACAGCTGCTTACCCACTTATACTGAGAGGCCACCATCATACTGACTTTTGAGGTAGAAAGAAGGCAATAGTAATAGGTAGCCCTACCGCTCATACCTAGAAGCTGCAGTGCTAGCAGAGGACTACAGCTTCTCAAGGCTGTGCTTCCCACCAGCTTCTCCTGGGCCATGCCACCGCAGCAACCTTGGCCGACCCAAATCTGTCCCACCCGGTAATATTTTCAAGTGCTGGCGCGCCTGCCTGCTCACACTGTTGGCTGTTGGGAAGGGTGAATGAGGGAGCGCAGGGAACTAGGAGCAGGGTCTGTCATCACGCGCTGGAAGACTCGTCAAGCGTGCAGGCTGGGGCTGTGCTTGGTGTGGTGCAGGGGCGCGCTCACTACGTGCTGCACTCAGAGGTGTTTACCTGACCAGGGTAGCCATACGTTGTTCTGGTCCCTTCCATCTCTGCTGCCTCTACAGCCTATTGAAGGTTTTGTTCCTTTAAAAAGCAAGTTTCTGACCTTTTAGATTATTTTAAGCTCTCCCCACAGTCAGCTATCAGCATTAAATGAGTTTTTGGCAGTTAAAAGGAAAAAAGTTGATTGCACTCTACAAAGGTAAGGTAAGGCCTGGGATAAACACAAAGGAAAGAGGGCAAACGTTTTGGCTTTAGAAAGTCAAGGAAATTTATTTCCTGAGGTCATGAGACAGGAAGTAGATTCCTAGCCACAGTAAAGGAGGTCTCCTAATGAAGGCGAGAATGCCTAGTAAGACATGCTCAAAAGAGCAGATTGCTCTGCTAGCGCTTGGGAAGCTGCAAATCTTAGCCACTTTGAGTCAATTATGAAGTTTCTAACAAAAACACACACATTTAGTGTTTGAATCTGAGTGGAAGTCTTGTTCCAAAGAGGAAAGAATATCCATCAAGAGATGAGGGTGGGTCCTAGCCACGGTGATAGCTGAGGGGAGCAGGATGGGGTCTAGCACTCCAGACACCATTAGGAGACCTCTTGGGGCAATTGACTTGTGCTCCAGCCGCTGGGTCAGATTTCAGACAGGAAGTATTTGTGGCAGGTTAGTGTCAGGTCAGCGGGCTGGAGGAGTTTCTGCTTCCAGGTCATTATCGTTTGGGTCCCCAGGGAAGAGTCTTGGGGGCCACTTGAGCCCCGAAGCTGGGGAAGTCTTCAGAACTGCTCATATCAGGGGCCTAGAGCAAACAAAAAGGGAACAAGTTAAGCTCCTGCCCTGTGAACCTGCACGGTGCGCCCCTGAGCTAAGCAGCATTTCTGATGTCCCATGAGTAGAGACAATGGGTGAGGGCTGAAAAGGATCATTATGTCCTTAGGACTGCCCAGGGTGGACAGTCAAGCCATCTAGAGATGACATTTAGGAGGGTGCAAATAGGAGCAAATGGCAGGCGGATCAAGGGCTCCGAGGGTCCAACCTCAGTAACTCGGTCACTGGAGTGGGGTCAGGCCAGTCCTGCAGCAGCGCCAGGGCAGCTGAGGAGAGAGCTGCCACATGTCTCAGCTCGCTGCTCCCAGCCAGAACACAGCTGCAAACATTGAGCCAGTTCTGTGCTGCAGCAGAAGAGTGAGAAGTCCCAGGGCCTCGTCCCTACCCCTAAAAAACAACAAGACCTGGCAGAACACTTTCTGGTAAGGGTCCCCCATTCCCCAACAGCTCCACAGTGAGGTAGTCAGTGTGGGCAAGACATTTGGAAGAAATAAGACAGCAGTGCTTTGGAAGCTGGCGAGGCAGAGCCCAGACCCTCTCTCAGCTTGCAGAGGCCACAAAGAGCAGGAGGGCCCTTCACTGCTTTCTCTGCCACCAAGAGAGGGAGAGTGCTCTGTTTCCCCATCCGAGATAGGAGGGCCAGACCTCAGAGTAAGTCCTTGGCAGAGGCTGCCACACACCCTGTGCCCCCAGGCCTGTAGCAGAAGCAGCACTCACCTTTTCATTGTTGACAGTGGCCCAGGGGGCATCTCTCACCACAAAGCCCTTGGATGGGGCCTTGGACTCTTCATGTGAAGAGGGCTTCATATACACCTGCATTGCCTCGTTGTCCACCACATCTGCAAGCTGCAGTGACATGGCCCAGTTAGGGGGGGATCTTGATAGTTCCTCAAGCTGGTATAACACACCTTCCTGCCACCACCTCACCATGCTGCAACCTGTCCAATGGTCCATTCTACAATGACTGAACACATTGTTTCTGCACTAGTCTGAGGGCCACCAACTCCTAACTGATGCAAGCTGCAGCAAGGCAAGCATGTGCACATCCTGGCGGTGTCCCAGCATTCTCATTCACTGTCCTCTCCTGGGCAGTGGGGCCAGTCCTTGCACTGCTTCGCAGAGCACAGCCTGGGGCTCTGCGCCCAGTTGGTCTGAGGGACAGTTGCAGATGAGGACCAACTGCCACCTGCACAGGGCTCGAGTTCTCCAATGCAGTGGTAGAAAATACCACATGGAGATACTTCAGTCATCCAGTTCTGTGGCAGAGGAAATCCTTGCTAAGCCCCTGCACAGATTTGCTGAACACTTACATATTCCTCCTCCAAGTTCAGGATATGATCGATAGCTTCTTCCACATTCTCAGGGAGTCCTGTCACAGTCACACAGTTGGGGTCAGGAGCTCCACTCTGGGGAAAGCGAATATCCACCTGCAACGCAAGAACAGGACGGGACTTACATCTGCACATGTGAAAAGCCACAGACTCCCCATGACCCTCATCATCAGATTCACAGAAAAGCCCTGATCTGTCACTACTGCAAGTCTGTTTAGGACCTCCATAGTTCAGACGCTGTGGGGTGCACTGGCATACCTGGCCCTGAAGCCTGGCAGAACAGAGCCTGCAGTAATGACCCATCTTCAGCCTCTGCTGTTCTCACTGCTGAGAGGCCCACTGCTTTCTGTGCAGCACTTGCAGTAGAGGCAGAAGAGGGCTGCATTTCCAGACAGTATCCTCACACTGCTGCAAGCATTTTCACCATCAAGCCATTAGCATGAAGCACAATAAGCTTCCTGTCTCCTCCACAGATAGGGTAATCCTGGCTGACAATCACTTTATGGAGCTGGCTTAGTGTACCCCATACACAGCCACTGAGCAATCTCACAGCTTGCCTTCCAGATGGGTGCAGGGAAGCCACATAAGACAGGACCAAAATCAAGGGCTGCTCATTTGGGAACCAAACAGCTTATTTCAACAACTGAGCCAAGCCAAGATGCAAGTCTCCAAAGCCTCATCACTCTGGATTCACATTCACTACTGCCCCTGTGGTAAAGCACACTACTGCTGCCACATGCTGTCAGGGGCAAAGGTCCCTGCCCTTCCCAGAGTCAGTGGACTTTGCGAAATCTGGAGCCCTGAGAGTGTGTCAAGATTCCCAAAGTCAAGCGAATCAACAGTGGCCTAGAGAGACAAAGAAATCCAGAGGATTTCCTTGAGTTAAGCTCAAGCTGAGGGGGTCTGGGCACAGTCTCCTCCCAGAGCGTCCCAGCAACAGGCCTGGCTGTCCACTTCCAGTAACTGGAGTAGCTGACATAACCAGCTCCTCCCTTTGAAGGGCATCTGGGACCCTGTCTCCAAGAAACCCACCAAAAGGGCTGCACAGAGGGACAGGGCTCACTGCTGTTTGCAGGGCTAACCCAGAGCACCAAGGAAGCATTTCCAGGTTCCTCTTCTGGCTGTGTTCCAGCAAGACAGGAAGAGCTCAGCCTTCTCCCTGCCTGGCTCCCATAAGAAGGGTGACTCACAGCTGAGGTCATGTGGGGATGCTTCAGCTGGTGTCTGGGTGTGGTGTCCAGATAGCCCAGCTGCCCAGGGCACACCAGGCTACCGTGGCCCAGGGATTCTGCTCACATGCTTGTGGTGACAGAGCTGGAGGTGAGCAGGACAGCACTGGCTTTTCTTTTGTGCCTGTTCCAGCTCAAGGTGCTCAACAGGCACAAGACACAAGGACCACAAGATGTGAACCACACACTCCTGAATTAGCCCCTAGCACCAAGCTGCTACCAAGCTCTTAGCACAGGAGAAAGTGGCACCACTGACCACCCAGCCCCAGTCCAACCTGTGCTGCATCGCCCCACCGCTCACCTTGAACTCATCCATGATTTTGCGGATGGCTTTACCACGTGCACCAATGATGCGTGCATGAACGCGATGGTCCAGAGTCACATCCTCAGAGACCATCTGCTCCAGCTCGCCAACAATCTTCATGATGGCATCCCGGGCAGCCTCAGCATTCTTCTCATAGCCAGTGATGGTGATCTGGTCTTGGGCCTGGGGCACAGGGAAATATGTGAGAGACAAGGCTCATAAGCAGCTGAGCAAGCCTTCTCCCTGCTAATCCCTTTTACACTCCACCTTATCCAAAGACAGTGCAAGGCGTTCAGAGCCCTAGAGAAGATGCTGTGCTTCCTATGCTCAGAGACAACCATCAGCCTTCTTTGCACCCGTGCTGGTTTTGGCTGGGATAGAGTTAATTTTCTTCATAGGAGCTAGTATGGGGCTATGTTTTGGATTTGTGCTGAAAACAGTGTTGATAATGCCAAGATGTTTTTGTTACTGCTGAGCAGTGCTTAAAGAGAGTCAAGGCCTTTTCTGCTTCTTACTCCACCCCACCAGCGAGTAGGCTGGGGGTGCACAAGAAGTTGGGAGCAGACACAGCTGGGACAGCTGACCCCAACTGACCAAAGGGATATTCCAGACCATATGATGTCATGCTCAGTATATAAAGCTGGGGGACATTAGGAGTTATGGTGTTTGTCTTCCCAAGTAACCGTTATGTGTGATGGAGTCCTGCTTTCCTGGAGATGGCTAAACACCTGCCTGCTGATGGGAAGTAGTGAATGAATTCCTTGTTTTGCTTTGCTTGTGTGTGCGGCTTTTGCTTTACCTATTAAACTGCCTTTATCTCAGCCCACGAGTTTTCTCACTTTTACCCTTCTGATTCTCTCCCCCATCCCACTGTGAGGGAGGTGAGTGAGTGGCTGCGCGGTGCTTAGTTGCCGGCTGAGGGTAAACCATGACAGTACCCCCTCTGACCTCTCACCTGGCTTTCATCATCCTTGTCGGGGAACTGGATGTTGACCTCATGCTCTGTGCGTATCTGGGTGATCACTGCTCCCTTCCGTCCAATGATTTTAGGATGATACTTGGGATCCACAGTGACTGTCAGCTTGAAGCTTCGCAAGGCCTGGAACAGAAGCAGAGTGAGCTACAACAGCAGGGAACACACTATGGCTGGTCCAGTGATGTCCATCTAAGTCCCTGCATTTCCTTCTGGCTTTTCAGATGAGTGGAACAGATTCTGCAGGGTCCTGCTTGAGCATATGTGGCTACAGAAGGGCACCCAAGACATCCATCTGCTGGGGCCTTGTGCTTTCGCCAAGATCGGCAGAAAACTACAAGTAGCAAACAACCATCCAACTCATCCCTAACCTATTTGTTCAGAGCTGTGATAATGATTCAATGAGAATAGGTACAGAGACACTCCTAGCACAGTGAAGTTCCCACACTGCGGTGTCTCGAAGGTACATGAAGGTGTGATAGAGCCCTGGACAGTCCAAAGTTACCTAAAATAGAATCCCAAAACTCTCCTGTCGGTTCACGTTAAATGAGTTACATTTGGGTAACCCAGAGCCCTAAGGGTGCTCTTAAAACATGAGGGGTTCCAGGAGTCTGCACAACTTCTGAAAGGAACATTCAAGAGGCTGAAGCCTTGTTTGGCTGGAAGGAAGAAGAAAGGCACAGGCCTTACCCGATCCTCTTGTTCAGCTTGCAGCTCCTTCACTCTTTCCAGCAGCCCGGCCTTGGCACGGTCAAGGTTGGTAGCCAGCCCAGTGATGGTGATGATATCTGACTGCAGCTCAGGAGCAGGGACCTGGATGTTCACCTGAGCAACAAGTAGCGATTATTGGTTTGTATCACTGCTCATTTTGCATCACCTGTGATGCCTATCGCTGCAGGTTGGCATCTTGCTGATCTACCTGGCCGCCAAGACCAGCTCCCACCCAGACAGCCTAAACCACAGAATGGCTGAGGTTAAAAGGGACCTCTGGAGGTCATCTGGTCCAAACCCCCTGCTCAAGCAGGGCCACCTAGAATCAGTTGCCTGGGACCATGTCTTGACATTTTTTGACTAGAACCCTGTTTCTTCAGCCATTATCAGATTGCTTTGCTGTGGGGCTTCAGCCCCCAACAGTCCTTGTGCTGGCTTGGAGAGGAAACAAAATACATGTTCGATAGCGCTGTCTGCAGTCAATCTGCATCAGCCCCAAGAGTCTCTGTGGGCTTCTGGGGAGTTCTCCCAAATGCGCAGGCACGGCAGAACTGTTTCCCATGGCCTAGGAAGAAAACAACTCTCATACTGGTGAGGAATCTCTGTAGGCACCAAGCAAGTCATGCGACACTCACAGCATCAACTAACACAGCTTCAGCACGAGACCTGCCGAGCCCCAGAGCCAGGGACTAAATCACACAGGTCTCATTTTCCTATTACACAGCCTGTATTCCACAGTCAAGCTATGACAGTCCTGACCATATCGCAACTGATTGCCACCACAGAAACATGGTCACTTACAAATTCTCCAGGACAGAGGAGATGGAAGGAAGGGCAACAACTTACTTCAAACTCATCCATCATTTTGCGGATCCCACTTCCTTTCTGGCCAATGATGTAACGGTGAAGATCAAAGGGAACTTCTACCTCAATGGTGACAGGAACCAGAGCCTGCAGGGGAGGGAGCACAGTTTACCAGTTGAAAGACTTCTCCTGTCTTTCAGCTTGCCATATACTTGCCCAAAAGAATGTTGCTGAACTGGGGTACATTCCTTTGTAGTCAGGATACAAACTACAGGAAGAGAGAATGGCTGCGAACACCAAGATGACCTGTTGGGTGTTAAAGCTTTTTTTCCAAACAAGCAATCTTAAACTCCGTCTCTGGGGACAGGCTGTTTTCATATCCTTGGCTTCCATCTAGCAGAGACTTGGAAAACATCACTAAGGGAGCATGGCAAGGTCTGCTAAAGCTAGAATGATTCAGCCTCAATCAGACTCTTTCCAGCTGTGCTCCATAAAACAAGCATGTCATGCTTTTATGGCAAGTAACTCAGGGCTGCCTACAAGCTCTAGCAATTGCAAGGTCAGGCACTATGATTCAAGCTGTCAGGCTAAATCACAGAGCAGAGGACTTCCCTTGCGTGGTACAGACCACCTCTACAGTTAGCATCAGTGACCAGCTGGATTGCAACCTTGACTAAGTAGCTTTTATTACCACCACTAAAGCCTGCAGTGAGCTTCCCGCATCAGGGCATCACTACATCACAGGGCTAAGGGGCTTAGAAAGCCACATACCTGCAGTGCCTCCTTTGCTGCCTCACACTTCTCCCTGCGGCCAGAGATGATGATGATATCACACTTCTTTGGAGAGCTGGGATCTGCATCCTTCCCATCCTTGCCTTCCCCACCTTCCTCACCATTCTCCTGCAGAGCTGGCTCTGCAACAGGGGCTGGAAACATGGAAAGTCTCATGTTAAATGCACAGAGCCCTCTCCTTGCTCATTATCAGCCCCTCTAGATCCTCAGGGTCAGCCTGGGCTTTGCCACAAGAGGTCAGACACTATAGACCGCAGTGGAGAAGGTCACTCCTAGTACAGGCAGCTTGCCATGGCTTAGCCTGGAATGAGCAGAACAAGAACATCCACTGAGACAGTCTGCTCAACACCTCTCTGCAGAGCACTGATATTGCCTTTGCCTGCATAGAAAGGACCTGCAGTTGTGCTATGGAAGCAGAGGCTGCATTCCTACGTTAGCAGAGGCAACAAGTAAACCTGGCAGTTTCTTCCCCAACTGGGAAGTTCACCAGCACAGCACTGGATGTTAGAGCAGGATGGCTGGTGCTAGGCCAGAGTATCCAACAGGCCCCAGCTGTGCTGCATTCAGCACACCCAGCAATGAGAGCATGAGGGCTCAGAGAGACCTTGGTAAGCCTGTAGACCCCTTTTTGCCAAGGCAGGTCCTCGTACTCCCTGCACTCTGCAGTGAGAACACATTCAGAACACCCAGGTCTGTGGTTTTACCTCCTAAAGCTGTCCCCTCTTCCCAAGAGAGCAAGGCTGATGCTAAGCCCAGATTCAAGGACTGTAGGGAACACCTGGGGTCAGTTCTCCACAGATTTTAAGTAGAACACCTCCACTGATATGGAGTGTAGGCTACACTACAGGAAAACATGCATCCATGTGTATACCTGGGTTCTCCTCCCTGTCAGGGAATTTGATCTGGACACCATAGTCCCGGGTGATCTGCTGGATCCGGGATCCTTTGGGGCCCATAATGGAGCGGTGGAACTTTTGTGGGATGGTGCATTCAATTGTCACTTGAGCTTCCTGTGAGAAAGCAGAGTTGCCCTATTGCAATGCAGCCTCTTTCACACCAGAAAACAGGATGCTTGTGCATGGCGAAATCCGTAATGGACATAGAGAGGAGTTAGAAAAGATAATAGCTGCTGATAGGGGAAGAACTGAAAGCTTCCTAGAATCCTTCCTCTCAGAAAAGTTAGCAGAGGATTTCTTAATGAAGGCTGCCTCCAATCCATGATGTTAAAGGCTTCCAAGACCAAAGCTCAAACTCTCTATTTCATTATCCTGAAGGGCAGGAAGCATTAGAAGAAAGGAAAAAGATAAAGAAGAAAGGAAGGGAAGAGAACAGGTTTGACAGCTGTCTGCTTCCAAAAGCCAATACTAACAGCACAGGAAACCCCAGAGAGCAACCACTGTCCAAGGCCAGGCATGGAGAGGCACAAGAAGGCACAAAATCTTTTAACATCTAGAAGTACACCGAGGAAGGGTCTCCTATTTCCACTCCTAAAAACCAAGAAGATGGTCAGAGGAGGCAATTCCTTCATATAGCATTGCCATTAAGGAGCCAGGTGCCATTCCCCAGGCCACTATCTAAAGACTGCAGACCCTATATATTGACAGCAAAGCTTCAAATCCCAGAACTGTGGGACTTGTTCACGTAAAGCTTGGCTGTACACGAGGTTCCCTTGAACCTGCACTACTGAAGCAACAAAATATAGAAGAAACTGTTTTCCTGCAACATACCAGGTCCTCGATGATCTCCTGGATGCGTTTCTTGGCTGCCTCCACACAGTCCTTGGCTCCCTTGAGGGTGACTTTGTCGCTCTGGGTGCCAGAGCGTGGGAAGCTGACCATCACACCACCATACTCATCTGCAATCTCACGCAGAACTTGCCCTCTCCGGATGACAAAGTGGCGGTGGTGCTTGGGGTCAACCACCATGGAGTCTTCAACCACATTATCCTGCCAATGGATGACAGCCAGTCAACCCTGCCTGTCCTGGTATTAAGCACAAGTTTGCTGCACATAACAGCAACCAGTTTACAACCTCACCCCAACAAGTAACAGCAAGAAGGATCTTCCTGAGCTCCCATGAAGGGCAGCAGATGGTTTTAGGACAAGCAGGTCCTCCACACTGACTTGCTACATCTAACTACAGTGATAGGCAAGAAAGTAGAAAAAGTAGTTCATACCAGGTTCTTGATGAGGGCCTCCAACTCCTTCTGCGCCTCTTTGACAGCCTCCTCAGTTCCCATGATAGTAATCAGTTCCTGATCTTTGTCCTCAGAGGTTGGGAAGATGATACGGGCCCCAGTGTTGTCACGCACCTTACGGATGTTGCCACCACCCTTACCAATAAGGAATTTGTGGTACTCTGGCTTTGCACGGAGGTCCACGGTGTAACTCTTTGTTTGCTGAAAGGAGTCAGATACCCATGGAACATGCCATTATATAGAAAATACACATCAGCATCAACAGTAAGCATGTAGGTATGTTACCTGCACCCACATACACAGTGTTGCAAGAGCAAGGTAGATGTCGAAGTCAAAAAGGTGCATGATGTCTTAAATTAAAACAACCACCCGGAAGATGTTCTCAGGCCTGAAAAGCTAACTCTACACTCAGCACGACTGGTGAGAATATGAACAGAAAAGACTTCCCTAGGAGAAGGGTCTGACACTCACACAAGACACCATAACCATTTGCAAGCCAGGCAGCAGAGGCACCTAACGATCAGGAGAACATGTTCACATGCTGGTATTAGGGTTTTTTCCTGCTATTAAGATGACCAGTCAGTCAGCCACAACTCAGAGCAAGGTCTTGTAACCCTAAGTTCTCAAACCAGTGAAACAGAAGAACCGGAGCTGGAATTCAGAGACCAAGAAAAAAGTAAAGGAGATACGCAGAGTAAGCTGTTTCAAAGAAGTGTGGATACCCAACAGCATTCAAACCACAGGAATAGGGAACCTTAACCCTTTGAGTATATCCCCAGCCTTGGCAGAGAAGCATTACAGCCAGTTCTTCCACCCATCGGGGAAGAACTCATTGTCATGAGGATGGAAGCATAGTTTTCTTTTAACCATCCAAACTGTACTCAAATCCCTCCAAAGAGGATTAGGCCATCTGATGCCAGAGGATTCCCAGCAGACAGAAGCGATCACTTCAACCCCCAAAAAGAAACAGCTGGCCAAACCAATCTGCTCCTTCCCCTATGAGACAAGCCTCACCTTCTCCTCTGCCAGGTGCAGCAGCTGTTTCTTGGCTTTCTCCACATCCTGGGCTGGGCCCCTGATGGTGACGGTGTCACTGCCAGAGCCCTCAGTGGGGAAGTGGATGTGGACTCCACCACACTCCTCCATGATGGAGCGGATGAAGCGGCCTTTGGCGCCAATGAGGGAATTGTGCAGTTTGGAAGGAATAGAGACCTCCACCTCTGTGATGTTGGCCTAAGAGAGGACAGTACTAGGCTGTTAGTCAAGCTGCAGAAATCTGTTTGTGCCCACCCTACTTACACTCCTACTCCCACATTGCTAGGAGCTTTATAGAGCTGTGTGTAAGAAATGCCTGACCAGAGGGGCTTGAGACTGGCTACTCCTGACACATGAGCAGTCACAAACTTAGATTTAAGAGTCAATCATGGACCGACACTCACATTTGTCTCCTCCCTGCCCTCCCCCACTACAAGCACTTCTGTAATTATGTCTTCTAGCAACATATACAAGTCCCTCATCTGCAACACATCAGTTATTTCACTTACCAGCTCCTTCTGGATGGCAAGAATTCTGTGGCGAGCAGCCTCACAATTTGCTCTCTTGCCTGTGATAACTATTGTCTCTGAGTTGCTGTTCTCTGCTGGGAGATCAATTTTGGTGTTGCTTTCTTCACGGATCTGCCACAAAGGAAAAAAATAAAATAATCTCAGAGGTGTCCCATGTCAGAAAAAAGCCCTTGGAGGTTATATTTGACATCACCAATGAGCAGGAGAGAGCAGCGAGTGGGATTTAGCTGCAGGCAGTGACCATAATGAGCACTGGAGATAGGAAAGATATCTCACCTTCTTGATGTTGGCACCTCCTTTCCCTATGATGTTCTTGTGGAACTGTTTGAAGATGGGGACAGAAATAGAAAAGCTGTTTTCAACCTAAGGGAGAAAGGAAGGGAGAACTTAAGATTACACTGCCATGGCAAGCCAGGCCCCGTCCCAGGGACTTGATAAACAAGCTCTTCACAACAGACTTAGTCCCAAGGAAGTTCTCTGTATGAAAGACTTGCAAGAATAAGCAAAGGCAAGTACCTTCCCCTGTAGCCCTTAAAAACCAGGTATTACTGCCCTGCCCCCAGCCAGCCAGAACAGTGTCCACAGCTCCCTCATCTTGAGATGTTTCAGCCCTAGCTAATCCAGTACACCTCTGCTTTATTCCAGGGTTATCCAGGCATGCAGGAGAGAACAGCAGACAGAAGTCCCCCTTACCAGGTCTGCCACCATCTTTTGCATGTACTTGGTGCACTTCTCCACCTCATTTTTGGGACCTCTAAGTTGGACGATGTCACTCTTGTGCGCAGGGTCTGGGAAGTTGATGATAACCTGCAGGAGGCAGTCATTTATAGCGAACTCAAGCAAATGCAAGAATTGTTGCGTCAGACACATGCAAAAGTTGGGGGGATCCTACACATCCCCTTTCCCATTCAGAAAAGGGTAACCATGTTAGCAGCCTCTGGCCAAAAGAACTATCTTCTCATACATACTAGATACAGAGCCACTAAAGCCGCTGACTTCAGCGACGCTGTGTCTATTACCCAAGTAAGAAATATCCTCTCTGGATCCCTCATCTAGAAAGCCTTACCTCTGGGAATTTCTCCCGGATTTCCCGGATCCGCTCGCCCTTCTGCCCAATGATGGTCCGGTGGAATTTCTGTTCAATGATTAGGTCCTTGGTGCGTTCATTTTCCTGATGAGAACAGAGTTTACATTGAATGTTCAGCAGGAGAGCTACATACTTTTATTTACCAGTTTGCTGCCTGACAGTTTACTTGCCAGCATTGTCCCTCTTCTCCTCTAGACAAAATTCACTCTAGGTTGACAGAGAATGGGTGTCCAAGGGAATAGAGGAACACATCTGTGAAAAGGAACTCACACTTGTCATGAGATCCAAGTGCTTGGTGGGTAAGGGGAACACACTTGCACCAGAAGGTTATGAGGGAACAGAAGAGCCCAAACCCTGCAGCCTCCCAAGCATCACATCCTACTCACCATACGGGAAGCGAGTTCCAGCAGCTCTTTCTTGGCCTGTTGGACCCCCTGTGGGTCTCCTTCAATTCTGATCAGGTTGCTCTTCTCATTGTCCGGGGGAATGCGCACAGACACCTTGTAGAGGTCCTTAATCCTGTTAACTTCAAGGCAAGGACTGTGGTGACACAGTCTGCTACGCCAAGACTTGGAAGCAAGGCACCTTGATTATCACTGCTTAAAGGCTCTTTAAGAAGTAAACCAGCCTCTGAGAAAGGGCCAGTGGGGTCGGGTTGAAACAGGGGAAAGTGCCTCTTCACCCTGGAGTTCAGCGAGAGCAGATCTGTGCCACACAAGAACCTGTACAAGTAAATACTGTGGCATCTACAGAGCCAATTGTTCACTTGCTAGAGTGAGGCATCTGTTTCTTCCCCAAACAGCACCACATTTAGATCAGAAGATGATCGTTCATTTCTAATCCCAGTTTCTTTCTTGCAGAGAAACTCACCAAGCAGATTTCCACCACCCCCAATCAGCTGCTAAAATGTAATTCACATAGAGCAACTTAAAAGAAAAAAAAGAAAAAAAAGAAAAAAAAAAAGACGACACAATTCTCCAACGGAAAAAAAACCCCCTTCCTCCAGGACATGGCAAAGTGATCCCACTACTGTTCAACCTCCCAAGATGCTTTCACACATTAAAGCCATCCCAAGGCCTCACTGCCCATTTATCTCCTTGTGCCAAGACCACTCTAGAAGAACAGAGGAAATGTGATGGAGATGGCACACTGGATGAGCTGCAGAGCCCCTGATAAGATCTACTAAACATGGAGAGGCCCAGCATGGGAAGGATTAGAAAGGCACCCCACTTACTGTTAGCTCCATTCTTGCCAATGAGGTGTCGGTGGAATTTGTGGTCAACATTGATTTCTGCATAATCCATCCGGTTGATCTATAAAGAATTGTATAGGGTGTTGTGGTTTAATCCCAGCCAGCAACTAAGCACCACACAGCCGCTCACTCACTCCCCCCCACCCAGTGGGATGGGGGAGAAAATCGGGAAAAGAAGTAAAACTTGTGGGTTGAGATAAGAACAGTTTAATAGAACAGAAAAGAAGAAACTAATAATGATAATGATAACACTAATAAAATGACAACAGCAATAATGAAAGAATTGGAATGTACAAATGATGCGCAGTGCAACTGCTCACCACCCGCCGATCGACACCCAGCTAGTCCCCGAGCAGCGATCCCCCACCCCCACTCCCCAGTTCCTACACTAGATGGGACATCCCATGGTATGGAATACCCTGTTGCCAGTTTGGGTCAGGTGCCCTGGCTGTGTCCTGTGCCAACTTCTTGTGCCCCTCCAGCTTTCTCGCTGGCTGGGGATGAGAAGCTGAAAAATCCTTGACTTTAGTCTAAACACTACTTAGCAACAACTGAAAACATCAGCGTTATCAACATTCTTCGCATACTAACTCAAAACATAGCACCGTAGCAGCTACTAGGAAGACAGTTAACTCTATCCCAGCTGAAACCAGGACATAGGGCTAGGTAGGGTAGGCCACCACTTGTGCTCTAAGTAACTGCCTACTGCCAGTATTGGCACTGACTCTCCAGTACTTGGCTACAAGCACTCCTCCTGCTATTAAGCAGAGCAGAAGCACTCCTCTGGTTTGAGCCAAGATCACCATGCTTGTGAAACATTTAAAGGGACTCATATGCCTCTCCAGCCACGACTGAAAGAGAATCCTTCCTTCTCTGCTTCAAAAGATTTAAGACCTGCTGCTGATTTTTTAAGAATGCTACGGACAAGCTTCGTAACCAAGGGTTTCATCCATCTGCCACACAACTTGTCTTCTGCAAGTTCTGTTAAGCATGTCAAGACATCATATGGATGTGATAGACACATCATCATCTCTGCTCTGTTGCCTCTTCTTCCTCCACTTTCTTCTTATCTACTCGAACTAGTAACACCAACTTACCAGATCCTTGACCATGACTTCAATCTGTTCCTGAGCCACATTCACATCTTCTGTAGGTCCTTCCAAAGTGATTTTATCCTCTCCTTCAGTGAATTCGATGTGAACCTTGAGACACAAGGCAATGAATGCAGTAAGAATTTTCCAAGATACAAGCCAGGTCAATGCCATTAGTCAGGACTACACTATGAAGCCCTGCCACTGCGAGATGGTTTCCTTCCCACGAATTATACACATCATTCCCATGGTTTCAGAAGTAGGTAACTTACAATCCTGGCCGTCTCACAGTGTCTAGAGCCCAAGGCTTTGGTGCTGTCCTGGAGTCTGCAAGGGCCTTGGAGAAGTTACTCATCTAGCCTTTCACTAGATACCATCTAACTCACCAGGGAGAAGCCTCACTGAAGTCAGCATTTGCAGGTGTCCTGCTACATCAACTCTCAAAATAGTACCACATAAAGCCTCCTTTGAAGGGCTCAACCCACGAGAATAACATAGGATGAGCAGTGTTTGCAGCAGTAAAAGAGAGGCTCCCCTTAATATTAAGATCTGTGTCATTTCCTCCCTGGTTTTACCCACGCCAAAATACATTTCTCTTCTACAAATAGTGATCTGGACTAAACCATATTCTACATCAGAGGGTGCTAAGCTAACTGGCTCATCCATACCTTTGGCATCTGCTGAGTTATTTTGGCCAGGTTTTGTCCTTTCTTTCCAATAATGAAACGATGAAGCCAAGAGGGGGCAGAGACCGAGGAGACGGTAAAACTGTTGGCCTGAGAGACAGAAAAACAGAGAAGCTGGTTGATGGACAGACTGGAAGATGTCTTCACAAAAATTCAGTTCCAATTCCCATGCTGCACCCTCAGTATTGACATCTAAGCTGCATCTCTAACAGCCCAACAGAGACCATGGCCCCCACACCTGTCAGTGCTCATGGATGTATCTTTATAGGACTTTCAAAGAAGGCTTAGCCCATCTTGTCAATACCTTTGCATAGACTTCAGTCAATGCTTGCCCAAGCTTTTCAGGCTCGCCTCGCAGTATCACCGTCTCCGAGCTACTGTCAGTGGGTGGGATCTCGACAGAGACTCCAGTTTTCTCCAAGATCTCCTGCAGGGAATTCCCCTTGGGGCCGATGACATACTTGTGCTGGGACTTCTTCACCTCCACTGCAATGGTAGTAGTCTTCTTTTTCTGTAGGGGCAGAGGCACTGGGGCATCAATCACAAGGGGGTAGGGAAGGACAAGAGCGAAAGGAAGAGGCACAAGATGCAGTGAAACTCTGCACCCAGGAAAGAGCAAAGCAAAGGTGAACACAGTGGTTCTGCAGCACGCTAGCACCCTTTAGGCCCCTGCCTACAGAAAGCCTTGTCCTCAAAAATTCAGAGGTGAAGTACAAAACTCATATTCTGTGTCAAGCTCCCTGGAAGACTATATGGAAGAGACCACATACACCCCCCCCCTCCCTGCACAACAGGGATCAACACCCAGCTGTCCCCTAGGAAATACTGTAATGCAACACCATGTAGGCTACTAGGCTATAAGCTGATTATCTTTGTTGAAATCCAGACTGGTACAAATACAGACCTAACCATGAGGAAAAACAGCCCAACAATCCACAAGGATATTCACTGTGACATTGGCTGTAGAAAATAAACTGGAGTGAAATTCACTCTTCAGCAACTTCTACTTATGTAGCAACTTTGATACTGTCAGATGGCCACCACTGTAGACTTCATACTTCCTTCCTTAGCAGCATCTGTGTGAACACGAGCCAGGGGAGCTCTTTGTGGTCTGCTAATTCCCATGACACAGAAAAGTGAGAAATCTGTCACCTCCCTGGTAGCATCACCCCAGGTCCCAACTCTGCTGAGCGAGGAAATGGTAAAGATCCAGGGCCACGTACTGCAACAGCTGCTGAGCCAGAGCTGACGTGAGGAGGATGCAAGAGAGGGATGCACAAAAGTAGAACAAGAACAGAAGAGGGACTGTGAGCAGGTTGGGGGAAGATGGGAAGCTTTATGGACCATCCATACCTTTTCCTCATAGATCTTCTTAACACGAGCCACGGCCTGGGCTAGCTGCTCCTTTTCTCCTGTGAAGACTATCTCTGTCTTGTTGACGCTGGGTGGAGGAATGTTGATGCGCGTCCCTGTGTCCTGCATGAGTTCGCTCACCAGCTTGTTGTAAGGGCCAGCTATGAAAGGGTGGTACACTTTCTCCACATCCAGCCGCTCCACGGCACGCTTATCCTAGAAGAGCCCAGAACAGACCTCAATGGGAACTGCCCTCTGTATTACAGTCACTGCCAGACACAGCTAAGTCCCCAGTGTTGTCTTGCTTGACACTCTGGCCCAACCACCCTTTTCAGTTTCCAGGCTTGTAGATCTCCAACCCTTTCAATCTGTAAATACTGCTGTTGCTGCTGCTGATTTATGATATTCACCTCTGTAATCTCCTGCCTTACCTCAGCTGGCACCTAATATGGTTCACTTCAAATATGAAACACGCTTATCTGACTTCAGAGATGGACAAAATGGAGGACCACAAGTTGCAGAACCTGGCAGCAGTGCTCATACAGCCAGTGGCACAGTATACGTCTCTGTTCAGACTAAAATATTAGCCACTGACTGTGGTCATGGTGGCTACAAACATCTAATATACCATGGAGAAGCAAAATGGCTGTCCGGCTAATGCCATGAGAGAGATCACAGTACTGAAGTACCTGCTCAGCAGAGATAAGCAGGATCTCGTGTCGGGCCTTCTCAATCCCTTCTTTAGTGCCGGTGATCTTGATCTGGTTGCTGGGGTCATCCGGGCGGGGGATCTGGATTTTGGTTGCAGTTTTGAGCTCCAGGTCCTGCAGTTTCTCGCCATTCTTTCCAATGACAAAACGGTGGTGCTCCTTAGGGATGGCAACTGTCGCTGAAGCCTGCAACACAAGAACCAAGCATCTGTGAGAACCTGTACCTGCACTGGCAGATCCACAGCAACAGAGCCAGGGGAAGCAAGTTAAATGCTTAGCAGTACTCACTGAGGAGCAAACACAATGCCTTCCCAGCACGTTCTGTTCGAGGACTGAAACTGTACCAGAACAGTTGATCTACAGTGCCTGTATACTAGGAGTCTAAAGCCCACCCTTCCCTCAAACCCCTTCTGTTTGGACAGGAGTAGTACTCTGAATTAGCTAAGGCCTTTAGGCACAGACAAGGAGGTGCCTGTCCTCCAGTGCAAGACACTGGAGCAGTACCAAACAGCAACTGAGATGATGGCTCATGGGTGGAGTTATCTGAACTCTGACATCTGCTGCCAAGGCTACAGAGAACAGGAGACACAGTCTAACTCCTAGGAAACAGAAATTCAACACAAGAAACCTATTCCAGCAGGCAGACAACTAGGAGATGCTTATCGCTACTAAGTACTAAGGTGTCTTCAATGTAGCACATGCTGCTCTTCTAGAAGGCCCCTCTTGGAAAAGGAGTCCCAAGAGCTTCTCTCAACCTACCATTAAAAGGCTGGTTTGTAACAGGGATTCTCGACTTCTTCCTTTCTCACTGAGTTTTTACTGACCTGGTAGCTTATGATTGCTACCATGCTCTTGATGTCTGTGAATATGTAACTACTAACAGTAATTAGACACTTAAAATTCAAGCTACAATATTAAAAAAAATCAAAAAAGATCACTTGGTGTGACTCTTCAACTCTGTGTCCCTGTACTGAAGCTAACCAAGCCTAGGAGGAGTTGGGAATACAGACACACCTTTCAGACCTGGGGCCAGGGCAGTAGGAGGTATATTAGAGGACAGTGGGTCATGGATCTGTGGCAGTACAACCTCAACTATTTTTTCAGATGCACATTACATAGGAATTGTCCCTTTCTCATCCCTCTGGCAGGGTATGACACATGGGCTGAACAGCACTAAGCAGAGATGGTATTAACTATTGCATTAACTACCTTTGACATTACACTTTAAAACACACACTGAGACCTGGCTGTGATACATCTTAACAAGAACTACCACCTTGATTATGAACTCAAGAATCTGAAGGTAAGAAATCAAAACCTAGAGGACTGAAAGAAGCAACTGAAACAACGGGGCTGCAGCTCCTTACCAGTGTGGCTTGAGTTACACAATCCATAACCCTGACCTGAAGCTTTCAGCTTTTGGCAGGACTTCCTCTTCTCTACTTTTCTTTCTCCCATCCCTCCACATCCTTCTCTGGAGGACTTCAGAAAAAGCACAGTCCCATTCTCACACACTACTAGCTTTGTGTGAGGGGCTTGCACCCCCTCCAGCACCAGCACCTCAGCACAAAGTCACTGTTTGCAATTCAAGTGTTCAGAGATTGCAGACTCCACCCTTCATGCAACACCATGGCCTGTAATTAGCTTTGAACCCTATTTTAAGCCTCATTTTCATTCCAAATTGCCAATTGTGTGCTTTGAAAATACATGGCAAAGCTGAATTAGTCATCTAATAACACCTCTTTGGCTTATAAGCACACACGCCCAAGGGTCTCAAAGCATTTGTGAGTCTTGGGGAAGAGCAAAGATGAAGTGAGAAACAGTTAGATGCCCTTACCTGAGTCTGCAGCCGAGCGACAATCTCTTTTCGAGCCTTCATGACTGCTTCCAGCTTGCCAGAGACCATGATCGAAAGGCCCTGGTCCTTTGCGAGAGACAGCTCCAGGTGAGCTCCTGTCTTCTGCATGATGTCAAGGCAGATCTTGGCCTGCTCGCCTTCTCCAAACTGATTCATGTCCTTGTATTTCCTCTCCTCCAGTGGCACATGAAACACCTGCTCAGCCACACGACAGATAAAAGAACGGCACAGCAAGCAGTCAGTATGCTTTTGATTGCTAGTGCCTCTCTCTCTTATTGCCATACAGGACTTTACTGGCATACTAAGTTCCCAGGTTTGTGCAACCCATCAGCTTTCCAGTGGAGACACCAGCTGCAAGCAGGGAAAGTGCAAGAGCACTGCAGCAAGCAGTCTGCCCCACACTGGGTGTCTTCCTAAAGTTCATGCTATGGGAGGAATACTTTAATGGATTAGTGCTCACTACTCGAATTCTGCAGTCCTCCTTTCAGGCCTGCTCCAGCTATTTGTGGAACAGGGATGCAGAGCTTTTTCTGGACAGTTTTCCAATGCATCCCTCCCCTCCAGAGCAGTCCTAGCTCTCAGGCTGCAGTCCTCCTCATGCCCCAGGGTAAGATACATCAAAGAGGCTGTCAATCTGACACACTAAGGATTTCATACTCCAGGGAAAGCTTCACTTCACCTACTTCTTGGAGGAAGGAAAAGGAGGGAGATAAAGCCACCCACTCCCACCAACCTGAGTGATGACAGAAGCCTTTATTGGTCGGATTTTGCTCCAGGGCCCAGCAGGTTCCTGGGCAGCTTCCAAACATGGTGCTTTCTCAGGGAGCGGAGGGAAGGCTTCCTTGTAGGTTGGAGGATCATTCTCTTCTTCAGAGTTTAAAGCTGTAACTGGGGTGAAGCAAACAGGGTAAATGAGATGCTCTCCCAGCAGAAATGCCCCTATTCATAGGCAGCCCAATTGTATTTAGGCACTACTAACAAGGGAGAGCAAATGACGTGCACTACTATTAATCCTATTACAGTTATGCTTGTGAAGCAGCCAAGTCCGGAGCCCAACTGACCTCAGCACAGACTGCAGTAGATGCCATGAACAACTTGTCTGAGCTGCCACTATGGCTGCAGGAAGCAAATGTGCAAGTGAATGGTGGCAGCAAACAGCACATTACTGCCAACTTTGTCAAGAAGGGCTTAATTAGGGGAGAACAGGCTGAACAGAAAGAAGTGAAAGGAACAGAGCAAGGCTGCAGGTCAGAAGGGGTAAGACAAACATACACCCAACAGGAAGGCAGAGAGAAGCACTACAGTTAGGGCAGAGTCCAGGGAAAGCCTGTACCCTGTGTTCGACTCAGTTGTGCATTAGGCCATGCCAAGTGGGCCAGCTTGCAGCTGGAGGATGGGTGCCGAAACCCATCAGTGAGTCAGTTAATACAGTTATACTGACTTTCCCCAGCACCTGGCTGAGCAGAGGAAGGAAACGACAGCCCAGCACACTGATCCCATGAGGCTCTCTTGTAGCCCAATGCCCCACTCTTGCATGTGCCCCATCCCACGGCTAGCAGCACTGCTAGCCAGAGCAATATGAAGATCTGAGGCTTGCCTTCTCCTGGCCCTGCACTGTGCAGCATTACCACTGTGCTGCTGGTGGTGGAAACCCAGAGTTTGGTGGGCCACCAATCTAGGAACGGAGAACGCAATGTCTGCACACTTGTGGGGAACCGGTTGCATGGAGCGAGCTTGGGTAACAGCAAGGAACCTTGCCTGTGCAGTTTGTATTTAGAGGCAGGAACTCAACTGTGTTTTCTCACCTTTCACCTGCTGCTGAGTCAGGCCGCTGCGGTGTTCAGCAAAGCTCTCCTGGGTCAAAACTGCCACGGAGCTCATTGTCGACTTCCCACCCACACACAATCCGGGTATGCCACTGGAAGAGACAGAGGTGGCAACACTATTACCAACACCATTCAAGATGCACAAAAGTCACTCCAGGAAGACAAAGTATGTGTTATTGAGCACTCTTCCAGTCAGCTTCTCAAAAAGCACCTATAGAGCCAGAACAGCTGCCCAGTTCTCTTGCTGAACCAGATAGGAACTCAGGGGGACTATTTCTTCACAGCACAGTAGTCACCAAAACCAGAGCTCCTCATTAAGAAGGCAGAGGATGTGCAACCTAAGAAGGTCACTGGAAAGGGGGACACCAGAAGTTGTTAAAGCATACTCTAATTAATCTATCAATTATTAATGGTGTGCAATTTTTAAATGAGTATCTGAAGGTCTGAATAGTCAGTCCAAGACCATCGTGTAGCCCTGGAGAGAAAACAAAAAGCGCCTAGGATGATGCCTCTTCCTGAAAAAGACTTTTTAGGTGCCTGAACTCCTGCTGACTTAGGGATACACTCAGAAAGCCACTCTGATAAGCAAGCTCAGAAACAGCAAGATCTTTGGCTCTCCCAAAATAAGAACTTACCAGCTAAATGGTCAGTAGCCAGGGAGTCCGTCCTGTAAGCTGCCCGTTTGTCAGCCTGCCAGCTTTTGCTTTACAGAGGAAAAAAAAAAAAAAAAATTATGTGACTGCTCCAAGACAACAGGAAAACATGACACCCCTGTTACTGTAACTTTCAAAAGAGCACTGTCTGTAGTGTGTTTCAAACTTGCACCCTATCCAAAATGTTCTCATACTGAGTCACATCTCACTATACTTTACCTGTCACTAGAGCTACAGGCAACACCACTATCTACTTAAACCTCACAGCAGGAAGCCTAGAGTAGCTATTCTTTCATCACACTGGCTACAAGAGCAGCCATCCAGTATCAGGCAAAAATACAGTCAATTAATAACAGATGTGCAAGATAGACATGAAATTTCAGGGTTGCAAGCAAGAGCATCAACATCTAGTCAGAGGAGACTAACAACCTGAAAACCTGCCAACAACACTGCCATCAGTCAGAAGTTAGGAATGTAGTTTAGTGGAGCTTGGGTGAATCAACACAGACGTCCTCACAAACTAAGGCAAACACTCAGGACTTTCCACACACAGCTGCTGGTCAGTCCACCTCTTCATTTTTTTATTGTAATAAGATCATGCACCAGGCACTGAACTCTGTCTCCAGGCCTAAATCTGCAGGCTGGAAGAACAAAACCCATGCTGGTTTACATGGACTATTTAAAATGTGTACACAAGATGGAACCCGGAAAAAAAATACACTGTTGGTGAGAGCTTTACATCTTCTGTATCTGGATCTGCAGATTTACTGAAAAAAGTGTTTAGGAGTATAAGTAAAAATGTAAAAGCTGGTACAGTACACACTCTGCCAGATGTACAACAGCTTCCCACACCTGGAGTCCCCCTCAGTGGTTACGTGTGCTGCCGCAGGGCTTGCACTCTCCAAAAATCTAGTGCCTCTGACTGCTCATGGGACAAGAGGCTTCTCCCCCACATAAACCCTGCAGTGCTGCTCGGACCTTTGTCTGACCACCAAACTCAAGACACTTCAGTAAACTGACAGCTGCTGTTTCTGACCTCCCCATGTGTCAGAAACAGGTCCCAAAAACACAGCATTGCTGATGAGGTGTCTCACATCATGCTTATGTTATAGCACAGTAAGGGAAGGGGACAGCAACAGAAGGAAAGGAGGGAAGAGCAAGCAGAGCAGGAACGCAGCTGGGCCATACAGGCCTGATCTGCACCTCAGTGAAGGTCAGAGTGTTTCCCCCTACTTCAACACACCTCTTACCAGGCATAAGGAAACACCACCTGTGCTATCAAAGCAATAGAGCTAATGTTGCAATTAATCCTGTAAGGATCTGCTACTATGAGGTGGCAGCTACCAGGACAGCCAGCCAGCCATGCTGTCTGTAGCACAGCTGTTGCAGCAGGCAGAGGCTCTGCAAGGCATTTGCTGGTATACACGAAAGTGTGGCCAGTAATCTGATCTCAGAGAAATACCTAAGTTCTCCTCGCTGTCCATGGTTACACCATGGTGTAACACATGGTTACATGTCCAGGGTACACAACTGCACAGCTCAAGCTGCCGCAGAACCAAGGAAAGCCCATTAGCGGCATGGCACCTGTCCCAGACTATTTTGGCAAGGCCTGCAGACTCAGCCGTCGGCTCCTCCAGCCCGTTGGGTCGCTACTGAGGGTGCCACCACCTCATGGCAAGCTGCAAATGGGAACAAGGGCAGGAACGAGAAGCATCCTAGACATCACAAGTAGCTGCCAAGGTCTGGCTAGAGCCTTGCTAATGGCACTGATGTGCTTATAACTCTCATTTCTCAGGAAAGCACCACCTGGCTCATCTTGCATGTGCTCCGCTCCTTAGAGGAGGAGGGTAAGGATGAGAAGTCAGTGAACGACACCCAATATAGCACCTGCCTGCGAGCCGCAACCTCAAGGCACAGCTGCTGGTTTCACTGTATCCACACCAGCTGCAGAGATCTTCCTTGCAGCCTCCACCTCAGAGAACAGCCAGACATTCAAAGAGAAATCTAAGGGCAGTGTTTATCCATACGAATTTCTGCTTCATCACCCATACAGCAAGCTAAGAACAAATGCTCTTCGTCTCCAGTAACCCCAAACATCTGGAATATTGTAGGCCTCAGGGATTCATCTCTGGCCAAAATTGGAGGCGGCCATCAGAATGGTATGTTAAAACGTAACATCAAAACCAGCAGCTCAGGCATTGCATTTGGAGCCCACACCTCCTCGACTTCCCACTTTAGGTTTTGAAACTAAGGTTACAGCTGCGTCATGCTAGCGTGTGGCTGACTGGGTCAACAGGTTTTGAACTGCCTAGTTTATGCACCGTCTGTAGCACAGGCTTTGTGCGCCAAAAGAAGTTTCAGGAGTCTAGAGCACACTTAGAATAAAGAGAACGAAATCATCCTAAAAATAACCTTCGGCAAGGGCCAGACCTAACCACAGGGGAAACATTTGTATGAAGAGAAACAAAAGCAAAGTCGTGAGTTACACTGCCAATACAATCAGTACTTGTGGACAGAAATGTCAGTTACGTGTTATTTAAAACTCTATTTAATAAAAATATTAGCATTTTGTTAATCGAGGTAGCTAAAGTCAGATGCAGCTAGGATCGCATGCAGCAACAGGGCCGGGCTGGTTGTGGCAGCCACCGTCCTCTGTCAGATGTTCACGCAGGGCAGGGTGATCTCTTGGTAGGTGAGTGGTCATATATGAAAATACTTGCTTTCTGACAACCGACCGGCTCTCCCAGATATTGAAGGCCCAGGCCCCTTGGTGTTGAAGGGATCACGCAGGCGGCCAGCTGCTGTGCAGCGCAACGGAGTCTTTCCCTTCGCAGCGATTCCTGAAGCAGTACATCTGAGAGCGCAACACGACCGGTGCCTTAGATGCAGCCAGGCTTACACCTGACCTGTCCGTCCCCTCTATTTGCTCTTCCACTATCGCCGTGACCTGCCACCTTCCCCGGTCACGTCCTGCCCTTGGATGGACAGGAGCTGTTCTGTGCCTGCCCAGCCGCTCACCGGAGCCCAGCCGACGAGAACACGCACCCGCCCGCGTCCTCCCGGCCGGCCCCGAGCGGGGGCAGGCCACGTCGGTGCTTCTCACGGGGGCCGGGGGAGCGCTTCCACGGCCGCGCACCGAGCGGGGCAGCCGGCCT